TTTTTTTTTTTTTTTTTTTTTTTTTTTTCATGCTTTTCTTGGAGGAGAAAGCTCCAATCCTTAATCCTCACTTCCCCGAGAGCAAAAGGACTACAAGAGCACCTAACAACGTATCTTGAGAAAAATATCTTCACAGACCAAGAATCCTTACTCCTTGACTCCTCTCGACTCCTTACTTCCCGAGTGATCGGAATGGTACGATCCCTCCACCTCGACTCATCTCTTCTCAAGAATCCTTGCTATACAAAATATAATTTACTCATAATAAAGCATATGCATCATCAGAATGATTTATGAGGATAATTTGTCCTATTTAAACCCAAAAATAGATCTTAATTGACCGATCAAGTTGACTCATGAATGATTTATTAGGATAATTTGTCCCATTTAATTTGGTTGGAAAAATATCTCGAATTTGTTCCATTTAATTTGGTTGGGAGAATATCACTTTATTCATGCTCAAGTGCGAATATCTTATCACTCTATTCCTGCTTGTGAATATCTGATTGACCTTGTGAATACCTCTATCATTTTGGTGGGAAGGAAGGATATCATGATAAGTGTGAATATGCTGATCACTTTGTTCATGCTTGTGAGGAACACTTCCGAGGCGGATCGTTTATGCATAACCTCACTTAAGAGAGGTTTATGCACGAATCACTCTGTTCATGCATAATGTCTCTTTAAGCTGCTCTAAGCTAGTTTTGGTTGATTGTTCATGCATAATGTCACTTAACCACTTGAGAAGTTTATGCGCGAGTCATTTTGTTCATGCATAATGTCATCTAAGTTGGATTTGGCTGATTCCCTTAACTACTTGAGAGGTTTATGCGCAGTCATTCTGTTCATGCAGATGTCACTTAACCAATTGAATGTGTGGGTCACTTTGTTCCGGCATAATGTCTCTTAACTACTTAGTTTATGTGCATGGTGAAGTTCCAGTGATTCCCTTAACTTGGAATTTTACGAGCATGGCCTAATCTTCCGTTCTTGATTCAAAGAAGTTTGAGAGGAACTGATTTATTTCAGGGCGGATTTGGATGATTCCCTCAACACTATTTATGACTACTCTAAGCATGGGGAAGTTTTAAAGGAATTAAGAGGTTTATGCGCATGTGCTACTCTAAGCATCAAGTTATTCATTCCTTTAAAGAAGTTCGAGGATAACTCGAATAAGCATATTTTATCACTTTGGCCTGCAGTCTTATGTCACCTTGTGAAGATCTTGTTTACGGTTGAGTAGAAGTAGTTGGAAGGAAAAATAGGTCGACAAGTCTTCTAACGAGGGGCACGTGTCAACAATCGATGTTAGTGACAATGGAGAGAGATCTTTTAACTTGAGAGCTCATCATCTAATCATTCCATCACTAAATTTCGGCGATGCACTCCTGGCCTTAACTGGCATGCCTTCGGCCTTGTTACTTTGAAGATATTAGAGTGCTCAAAGCAAGTCTAGCTCGGTATACATCAACATGAGATAACATCATAGGATTGATCCTATTTTTTTGGCCTTCGAGATCTCTGTAATGATTAACAGAGACAGTCGGGGCATTCTTATTTCATAGTCAGTAAATATGTGAAAAAAAAAAATACGAACATCTTGAGCATGTCACCTTTGAGATTTGATGAGAAATTTGAAGAGTCTTGATATTGGACGATCTAGAACATTTTGTACCATTCTTGGTCTAGGAGAACGATTGAGAATATTTGTAGTCAATTCAAGATCCAAATTGAGATTAAGAGGGTGTGGTGACCAAATTTGGATATCTCGACACAAACATCTTGATAATGAATATGATCTTGGTTTTATTGTTGAGAGGGAAAGTATCGATGATTTGAGATACTATAATTACTATAAAGACCATTCGAAAATCCCGGATTTGAATTGATGGCCGTTGATTAATTGAGTCATCCTAAATTCCATTAATTTATACTAAAGATTTCATTTTAATTGGAATTTGGTTATTCACCTTGTACGAGGATCCCTGATAAGCATCTATGGCTGAAGAAGACCAATGCATGCATATTACTTAGGTTAATATTTGAACAAAATTTAGGGTCGTCACAATCATGTTTTAAAGATGAAAAACTATAGAGACTTCATGCATTATGTGTATACATATACATTGGACTATTTCCCCTTTTACGATGATGAGTACGAATACATATATTACGATGATTATCATCATCATGCCTCACATGACACTTAGGGGTCTGATGACCTCTGGATGTCGCTACAAACAATTAACTCGACTATGATGGGTTTAGGGGGTGCAAACCGCCTAGTGATAACACTCGCACCAGTGGGTCGTGTGTAGGAAAGTACTACACATCCAATTTTGTCCGGACTAGAGGCCACCTCTATGACGATTTTTAATGTAGGTCCCTAGATCATGATTGATATGTGTTTGCATTTCCTGACCCCAATAATGAAGTTACTTATTGAGTATTTCTTAAAATACTCAAGCCGTACTACTATTTTAGGTAAAGGAAAGATGCCCATGTACTACTTGACGACAACATCACAAGTAACATAAGATAGTATAGGGTGTTTTACCTTTAATGTTTTATTTTAGTTATTATTATCTTTATCTTGTTTTAAATACGGTTTCGAACACGTATGATCATTTATTTTATTAAATTAAAACTTAATAAAGTTAATTCCGACATTAATTATTATTTTATTGGTAAACTTTTAAGTTACCTTGGGAGGTTTCAAACTTTATAAATTTTAAAATAAAATATTTAAACAATGGAGGAAAAAGAAACCATTTTAATTAAACGCAAATTTAAAAGATTAGAGATTAAATTAAAAAAAATATTATAAAGAAAAAGAATACATGGACTAAGAAAAATTTTGAATTTGTTTTTATTTTTAAAATATAACTAGGAAGGAAAATGTTTGGGTTAAATGGAATCTTAAAAAAAAATGAAAGGATTATTAGACAAACCTAAATTATTTGTATTTAATAAATATGTAATAGGTTTTAATCGGTGTTACACGTGGATAAATTATAAAATTACACGTGTAAGATTAATAATTCCGTGATTGGGTTTTAAAAAGTAGATCACATCACAGATTCTACTTTACTTTCTGCCACGTGGACTCTTTTTAAAAAAAAAATATATACCCTAAGTTATGTGGGTTGTAATTGTTTAATGATTATTTGTTATTTAGTTTATATTATTAAAAAGAAGACAAAAAGGGTAAATAAAGAAAGATATTATTTTATATAAATGAAAAAAGGGAAAATATATTTGGAAGTTTATGCGGTTGGGAAGGGTTTTGGTACGATAGAACCGGGCCTACATTAGCATACTTGTGGAAGTTATAAAGAACGTACGATGCTGGTGGGGCCTTGCATCATCATAGAAATTAAATATTTTAAATTAGTTTTGAGTCATGGTGTAGGTACAGAGGAGACGTGCTATACAAAAACTCTGTCTCTATCTTTCTCTCTCCTCAACTCTGTTTCCCCGCCACACGACTCTCTCCCACTTTCTCTCTCTAACAGTTGTTTTCTTTCTCATCTTCTTCTCATTTTCTCAATTTTTTTTTTTCTGAATTTCCATACACATCGCCTTTTATCTCTCTCTCTCGGCAGTAGATTTTGGGCCACAGATTTCACCCTCTCTCCTTTTTCTTTCTACTTTCGATTACTTTCTTTCATCGTTTGTAATTGTTCTCAATCATTTTCAAGCTCTCAGGCTCTTGATTCTCTTCGAGACACTGCGTCTTGATTGAATACAGGAGCCGGAAGTTTTTTGATTGCTCGGAATACGCAGTTGAGATTCGTGTCGTCATTTTCCTTTTTTTTTTTTTTTTTT